GCTTCTCCCCAAGCCTCTGTGGAAGGCTCTCCGTGCCTCTTCCAGTTCTGGAAGCCCCGGCACTCCCTGGTCTGGGCGGCATCGCTCCGGCCTCCGTTCCCATCTTCCAAGGCATCCTTCTGTGTCTGCGTCCACATTTCCTTCCTTGTATGAAGAAAGCAGTCACGGGAGGTGGCGTGAGACAAGGACGCTGTTGGACTCTATGCTGTCCCCACCGTCTCTCTCCAGAGATGGGCAGCAACTTCAGGAAGCTCATGTCGTAGGGTCCTCTGGCTAAGACCTCAACAAGTCTATGGGGGAGCGCACATGAGCCACCACAGATGCCTGTTATAAAGTTACGTTAAAACAAGGCACCTGCTGATCTGACCTCTTAGGAGGATTTCTTCTTCTAAACTAAGCCAGGAGAGTAAGCTATCAGAAATAAAAATGAAAACTGAACTATAAATTATTCTCAAAGTCAACTAAGGGGTCGGTCACACACTGGTCTGCCCTAAGCCTAGCAGCCAGTGATGAATCCACAAGATGTGAACCGCAAGTTTGTGAGAAGATTCTCATAACCCCTGCTCTGATCCCTGCCAAGCTCAGGCCCTGCTGTCCACCGCACACAGGTCTGGGACCACGGCCCAGCCATGCCTCAAGCACACAGCCTGCCAGTGGGGAGGAAGCGGCATGCAATTTTAAACGCCTGAGCAGGGCAGAGCCAGGCGGGGATAAGGCCGTGGAGGGAGACACAGAAGCAAGGCTCTCAGCTTTAGCCTGTCTGCTGCTCACTCAAGAAGCCGCTCTCGAAGCCGCACTGAGGCAGACTTCGGGGATGAGGGCAAAGTGACCTGCGGTCACAGCCAGTGACATCTGGCCCGGGGTGGAAGCAGATGAGACAGACCGTGAGACAGGACGCTGGTCCAGGGCACTGGCTCAGAGGCGGTCTAAGCAGAGCAGTAGCCACACCAGCCAGAGGGCCACAGGACAGAGCCGAGTCGCCCCTGGGCCGCAGAAGTGTGGGCGCACCTACTCTGCCATCTCCAGAAGGCTTCAGCGCGACCACACAGACGTGGTGACAGAAGGATGCGTGAGACATTTGTGTGTGAGTCAGGTAAAACCGGCCAGAGAGGACAGACGCCAAGTTAGGGAACAGAACTAAAAGTAGTTTTCCAAGATGTGACTCACAGGAAGCGGGAAGGGGGCTTCGAACCTCTGGTCTCCAGTCGTGCTGGTTACAGGGGGGGAGCACGTGTGCGGTAGGCGTTTTTCACGCCTACCTTCCGCACGGCTGTAATTATTACTGCCACATCAAAGCACTGGGGATCGTTACTAATGTGGCTTTTTAAATTGTGGGTCAAGTATTTCAAGCAAAATAAATCGGATGTACACGTTCGTAGGGAGCTGTAGGAAGCGGCTGAGCCGCGTCCTCAGCTGAACCTGAGTAACGTGCAAAGCCTGACTCTGGGGGCAGGAAGCGGTCGAAGATACCTCTTGACTCAGCTCCTGACCTAGCTCAGGTGAGAAGCCGAACCGCACGGGCAGCTCCGAGTTCCTGATAGCACAGCTAAGTAGCTCCGAGCGCGTCCTACTTTCCGTGTTCTTAACAGAATAGAGCTGTTCCTTCTGAAACCACCCCGACACTTCCCCTTGAAACTGTGTAAAATAAACACTCTGACCAGGCGCAGTGTCTCCATCAGGCCACTGTGTCCCACCAGGCCCAACTTCTTCTCCTTTTTCTTTTTGGTACGGGATTGAACTCGGCACCTTACACTGCCAGGTAGGCGCGGCGAGCGGCGCCCCCGGCGCCCCAGCTTTTTTCCTTACGTCTGTGTTTCTTCTTTTTCCGTCCTCAACCCGCATCGGGTCTCTGCTCACCGCCCATTTCAATATCACATTGACTCTGGTGTGAGAAACCAAAAGTGGAAACAAGAACCAAAATGTATAAGAGAGATTGGGAAATGGGAGCACAATGTTCAGACGAGAAGGGGAACAGGGGAGAAGAGAAGGGAAAGGAAGGGACGAGAAAAAGGATAATAGAAGGGGAAAATAGAAACAAAGCTTTGAAGTACGGAGGGGAAGAGGAATTGAAGGGAGCGGGGGATGGGGCAAAAGAAGCAAGATATGTCACGCACAGGCACGAATCCCCTAGACGAGTGTGATTATTATGTATATCTGAAGTGTACTAATAAAAAAGGAAATATTTCCTCCTTTAAAAAACTATGAGTCACAACAGAATGAGGTAGATTTCTATAAAAGACTGAAAGACTGGCCAATAAGTGACTGATGTTACTGAGTAACAGTGATCACCCTCAAGGCAGTGAGTGAATAATGAGGAAACTTTCTACATTACAGTAAAACCTTGGTTTGCGAACATAATTTGTTCCAGGTACCTGTGTGTAATCCAAAGCACTTGTATATCAAAGTGAATTTGTCCATAAGACATTATGGACACTCAGATGATTTGTTCCACAACCCCAAAATATTCATAAAAGCATGATTACAATCCTGCAATGTGATACAAAATAATAAAATACAATATATAAAGGAAAACAGGTTGACCTGCACTTACCTTTGAAAACCTTCAGCTGGTTTGAGGGAGACACGAGAGAGAAGGGTCATTTGGAGATGACTCTCACTACCACTAAGGCAATCACTGCTATCTACCGCCTCAATGCAATCTTTTTCTTTTCGGGCAACTAAAACAGGGAACCTCTCCAGTGACACTTGCTTTTGCCTCCTTTAGAAGATTTTGCAAAAATCTGACATTGCATTGTTGTCAAACAGATTCATCACTAGCAGCCTTTTGTTGGGTAGTGTTTTTTAACAAAACCTGGTGTTGTCTCCCACATTTTACAAATCTTCCTAACCTCATTTGAAGTGAGAGGTTCCTCTGCCTTTTTCTCCTCCTCTTCTGCAGATGGGATCTCTCCCTCTTGTTGTTGGGAGACGATCTTGCAGCGAGGGGGGAGCCACAGGCTCAGCTGTGATCATGTGACCTTGAGTGTCACGTGCTACTCATTGCGAGACATCACTAAAGTTAAAACTTACTAGAAATGTTTGCCATCTCGCAGAACAAGTTCCTTGCAGTCCAAGGTTTTATTATATATTCTTCTGCAGGTTTTACTACTTTTGAAAGTACTTTTAACCATAGGTGTTTTTAAGGATGAAGGCCTTTCCTATACTTTGCTTCAGCCAGATCTCAAACGTTTGCATAATCCAAACAGAAGTCATTGAATATTTTAAAGAAATAAGGGCCAGGAAAAATAGAAACTTTTGTTCTTATTCCTACTAAAAATGTGACTACATAATGATAAGCTCTATCTTTCAATAGTAGTGTTAAAATACAAATTCTTTAAAGTTAGGCATGACTCAAGAATATGGAATGAAAACATGGCAAATATTCAACTAATTAATCAATTAACTAAGAGCCACAAGAGAAAGCACTGAAAGACTGAGTACAGTGCTTACAGGCAATGAAGGAGGAATCTGGAAATAAAATTGCTCGGTTACAGACAAAAATGGTTAGTGTTCTTTATGGCAAGAGAGGCATAACCTTTAGGGCTAGCTTTACTACCAGACAGAATTCATTTGTATTTTCTCTACACAAAATTTGACAAGTTATGTGTAACCTCAGACTGGGCCCTAATAAAGAGTAGAATTAAACAGTTTTGGGTGGATCTTTTGGTCTGGGCTATGACGCTGAAAGAACATGTAGTCTTCCTATTGCCTTCCTGCTAAGTGTTGGATGCTTTTTCTCAACATAAGATACAAATTTACATATTGGCAACCATGGCTTTCAAGTTTCCAAATGCAGTTTGCTCTAATATGCATCTGCTTTTCACCAACTTGTGTGTCTGTTTTCAATCAGGAGGGAAAATGACCAACAAGCAATTCTAGCATTGCAATAATGTTCCATTAACAAAATATATTCTAAAACTGTTTTGATACTAACCTTAATTTATATTAAAACATTTCGAGGAACTTATTAACAATTTAACTTTTTTTATCCGGAAAAAACTAAAGTCTGCTTTGAGTTGATGTCAGCTTGGCACCCAATCACCTGATCCGAACTGCAGCTTAAATGTTTACAGAGATTTCGGAAGTAACTGGACAAGTTGCATCTCTCAGCCTCAGCTTCCTCCCCTATGAAGATTCAGTTCACTGCCTGTGACAACCCGGACAGAACGAGGGCTACACAGCGTGCTCTGCTTTCACTGTTCTCTGTATACTCAGAGCCATAAGTTTCATAACTTAGAGATTTCTCTTTTTATCACTTGTCTTTTACTGCACAGATTTGTGCTTTTACTTTCTTAAAATTTTGAAAAGAATGAACTATGCTTTTTTCATCTTATCATTTGCTTTATTTTTTCAAAAACAAAAATTAAATTCTACTTATCATCCTTCTTTATGTAGAAATGGATCTCTTCTGAAGTTCCTAACAAATACCATTTTAAATTGGAATCCTATTCTTGTCACAGCTTAAGAAATGTAGAAAGTGCTAAAATCTGAATTTGTATGGAAGCCTTTAAAAATACATACTTAGCTCACACATCAACCATTTGGTTTGTTACACTAGGCTCTTGAAAACAAAGCCTATGCCACATGATTGTCAACAGTTAGTGCAAAAAAAAAAAATAACAGTGTTAACCCAAATGCCCCAAATTCAACATCACAGTTCCAGCAGACATCCTCCCTGATTTCCGCATCACTGCAGCATGCGTTTCTAATCAGAGAAGAACACACGAAACAAATTAGTGTTGTGCTGCATATTTTGACAAAACCAGAAGAGGTGACATCTTTGATCTGTGTTATGCACGTACTGTTATTCTTCGAAGCACTCTCACATTCAGTATTTAATTTGCCTAGGGGCCGGGGATGTCGCTCAATGGCACAGCGCCTGCCTAGCAAGTGTAAGGTGCTGAGTTCGATCTCTGGAACCAACAGATAAATAAACACATACATAAACAAGTACATACACACATACTACTTTAATTTGCTTAAAGGTACCTTTCTGTGTAAGAACTTTATTACATTTCATTGGCATGCAATTCAAAAAGCTTAAAAAGTGGTTTTAAAAAATGGCGCAGAAACCTGGAATATACTTTAAAAAAACACCCAGCTATAAAATTCAAATAAATGAACTGTATGTGAACTATATCTCAATGCAACTGTTTTTATATGTGTCAGCAGAAAAAACAAGTAAATGCTCCTAACAGTCTGTGCAAATCAGTTACTTTCCAGTTGTTACACTTATAGGCACTTGCATTCATTTTTCTTACTGTGAAAAGAGGGTATTGTGGGAAAAAATGGAATTTTTCCAACTAAAAGTATTTTTTTATGTAATGGCTTTTCACCCAGAAGCAGCATTTCCTGGAACCAACTGACGTTGTTAAGTAAGAGATAGGTTTATTTGACATTTGAAGTTAAAACTGTAAGAGGACTACACTCAGACGGGAGACACTGAGATGAGCATCAGTGTGAAGGCTGGATACGTCGGCCCCACCAGAGATAAATAAAGTGCGCACACTTGAAAAGATTTACAGCCTGTGCAGTAATAGGAGGCCAATGTTATGTTTCAGCCAAAGACACCGGCGAGAGAAGAGAAAATCCAGGAAAGACACAGGACAAACAGGCACAGATCGATCAGACGTGCAGTTGTAGCCAGCTCTTCTAGAGTCGACCATCAGAGACAGACCCTGGCTGCGCTCAGTTCCACACATCCCAAAAGGGCGAACGGGTAACTTTCTAAACCCAGAAACATAACTTAAATCAATTTATACTGTTTTATTATACTTAGGGAAAGAAAATTCTGGTATCAAACCACAATTTCCTGCTTTGCTTTTGCAGAGGAAAAAACAACTTAGAAGACAATACAATTTGAGTGTTTTTCTAATAGGAAAAAAAAAAAGGAAAAATGAAGCAAACACTGAAATGTGGGAAAGATGCATAATTCTGAACCAGACTATCTCTAAGCAAAGTATCGAAAGTATCGGCCAATCAGAAACTTAGAATCTGGATGTACAATGCCTACTTTCAAAGAAGATAAATGAGGTAAATGCATTACGGTTTAGTTACTTCCAGTAGCAAACAAAAGAAAATAGTGCCTGGCTCTCTGATCAGCAAGTGCTGATTTGCACTTCAGTGACTTTTTCAATGAAGCTTTTTTTTAAAGAAGAAATTTTAATAAAATCCAGCAAACCAATGTTTTTTAACAAGTATTCTTTTTGTTATTGTATCTGATCCTAGTAAAGAGTAAAGAGAAAACAGTATGTGCCCAGAGGATACAAAGTCATGTCAGTATTTTTCAGGTACTGGGTTCTTCCGGTGGGATGGTTTTAAGGTCTCCTAACACCTAGGGATTTCACTTTTTTAAAAAAAGTTTTTTTAAAAAAGAATTTTTTCTGCTTTCATGCAACTGTATAAATTCATTTTCAATAATGGAGACATAAATCACTGGAAAGGTGAATAACTCCAGAAATATATTTTTCTTTTCGGCCATCAAATGTAATCTCCTCTCCATACCCATTCGCCTGCAGGACCAACTCTCCATGCATTCTTGCAAGGTATTATTTATGAACTACACACACAGCAATTACTTGTCTTTGTGTGCTTTTACTCAAAAACATAAAAAAGAGCCCTGCTAAGGCTGATGGTGGCTACCGCACCGAGACCACAGGGGGGTCCTGCGCCTGGCGCCCTTTCCTCCCCAGAGGGCCGTCTCCACCCGACAGTGTACACGGCAGTGACACTAGCTTGGCAATTTCACGTTCAGGGTCATACATTTGGAAACCAAACCACAACAATAAAAATGTAAAGATGTGGACTGAGCTCCAGCTTCAGCTTGCTTGCTTTCTCTCCCAGTCTTTCCCAGTTCCGAGAGCTCAGCAGAGCCCACTCGCTTGTTGGCCGCACCTAGAGGGGAACTTTTAAAGCTTTACATTCACCGTGTATTTCTATCAATCCCTTCCTGTCCACCCCCACACCACCCGTAAATCGTTAAGAGTACGAATGCTTAGGTTGCTCTTTCAAAAATGGTAATGATGAAAATAACTCTCATGATCCAGAAAGAAAACTATGCTCAATATACAGTAGTTTTAAATCTTAACCTGTCAATGATTTCTAGAGAAAATCAAGGGTACAGTAAATTTGTTTGCTCTCCTGGATGACATGTGCTTATTTTTAAGCCGAAATATTTTCTTTCCAGCCCAGCTACATAAAATAGCTAGCTTTACTCTCAAAACAAATGCTTCAACGAAAAAAATGAACAAGGACAATGATTCTAGATTAAAAGAACTGAGACATAACAGAGAAATGCAACCTGATAGGCTACAGACCCCAAAATAAAATCTACACATTTTGAAGTATGGGGAACTCTGAATATTTTTTGGATATGGAGGACATTATAGAATTATTAACTTTACTAGGTGTTATAATGGTATTATGATAATAAAAAAGAACATCTTTATCCTTGAAAGATGCAGGCTGAAGTATTTAGGGGTGAAGTACTGTGATGACTGTATCTTAATTCTCAAATGATTCAGCAACAAGTTTTATTTTTAAATACAGAGAAAAAGCAAATGTGGCACAATGTTAACAACCAATGAAACTGAATGAGTAGTTTCTTGATGCTGATGGCATTATACTTTTAACTTTTCTGTAGGTAAAGTTTTTCCAAACCAAAAAAATAGCAAAAAGAAGACTTACTGAAGAAAATACATTCATTTAAAATATTATTCTGGAATAATACACACTTATACACTCAGATTATTTATGTACACTCTATAAAAATCAGCAAATCAAAACACTTCTCAATCTGAAATTAACAATCTTAAACATATTAACTTTCAGTGCTGACGCATGAATGTCTTATCTTAAATACAAAGAACTCAGTATCTAAAATTACAGTCAATTAGGTCCAGGTGTAAGGATCAAAAGTATTTCAAGTTAAAAAGTTCAATAATTGTTTTAAGTATTTCTTCTTTGTTTCTCTTCTTTGTCTTGAATAGTCTGTTTTAAACTCAAAGTAGCATCTTGAAATCCAGGATTTAAGTCTAATACTTTCTTGAAATCTTCCAAAGCTTCATCGAAATATCCTGTACCAGAATCCAAAACAATGGAAAAGAAAAAAAAAAAAAGCTGAACATTTCTACATATTATTCACAGCAAAGTTTAGATACACATACTTTTGCTTTGTATTTATGAACTTTCAATTACTCCTAGTAAAGAAAGCTTATTCTCTTAATAACTATATAGAGCTACGTACATAAAAGAAATGCTCTGTGCCTGTATGGAATAATTATGCCCCGATCAGCTACTGCAGGGCTGGGGTGCAGCTCAGTGACAAGGCACTTGCCCAATAAATAAATGTGAGTCCCCGGGTTCAATCCTCAGCCCCACAAAAAATTAAATCAGTCACTCTAGCTGTGGGTTTATAAGATTTAATGGGTAAGTACCAGAAATCATGAAATTTCAATAAGCATGTCCCAGCAAAACTGGGAAACTGAAAACATGGTTCCTCTAATACAGAAATTTAACCTTCACTGTGTAGTCTCACAAATCTCCAAAGATTTTAACTCGCAGAGTGGCACAGGTTGCCAGCCAGCAATACCCGCATTTGCAGCAGGGAATGTGCAGGCTCGGCGTAACGGGGTCACCCGGGCCTGTACCCAGGTCGAGTTCCCACCTTGGCGCTGATCACACACCTGCACCTACAATGAGCTCAGGCGCACCTCCTGTGTTCCAAGTGCTAAACCTAAAGTTCACTTAACGCTAAAAACTGATCATCACTACATTCACTTTAGGACAGCGGATAGCTCTGAAATAACAGAACACAAGCAATGAGAAAAGCAAAACATCAAATCAAATATGAATTCTTACCCAGTCTGTACAATATCAACCCTCTGTTGTAATATGGAATTTCAAAACTGGGCTGGACTTCTATGGCAGATGTGTAGTCATCCATTGCTTTGTAAAAATCAACCCTGAAGTACTTGATTTGCCCCCTGTTGTTATATGCAGTAGCCAAATCCTCAGGGCTGCATTTGCTTTAAACAAAAAGTTCACATTAAAAACACCCTGTTACCAAATTCCTCTCGTTTCCACTTTCATTTTCTTTTGAGCATTGTCAAACTTCACAGGCTGTAACATGCTGTCCTACACTGAAAAACCAAGCTGAAGAAACAAAGCTGAACTATGTAAGGTACTGAAATAACTTTGTTTATTTTGTAGGGTTATAGCACCACAATGTCAATCAGAAAAGCACATGAAATTTTAGTGTTCAGAGACCCTGTTCACTGCCACGATTTGTTGAACATATTAAAGTCACTGTTCATTTTCTAAGTACACACTATGAAGCAAAGATCAGACACAGAAAGGAAAGCTAGCCCAAAGTTCAAGTTTGCTATGGACATGTCAGACAGTGAATTGTTAATGTCATTCTCAAAACCCTTAAAACAATGAGATTTGAAATTATATTCCACCAATAAAGAAATTCAAGTTAGCCCTGTGCAAAACTTCAACAAGTTGATCCCCAGAGAGTGATCTGGGCAGGACCTGCCCTCTCCAGCAGCAACTGGGATTGACACCAAGGCCAGCCTGGCTTCCCCATCACAGGGTGAGCTCTGCTCCACCTGCAGACCAGGGCAGACTCAGTTCTGTCCCTGACACTTTTACAGGATGCCCCCAAACGGGAAGTGAGCAGAGGTCCCTGAAGGACTGGATGCCCAGCACTTGAGAAGCCACCACCGTAACAGGTCACAGCCCGGCTCTCACTGCCCCCAATCTTTGTCTGCACAGGACAAATCATCTACGCGGACAGCATTAGGGCCTCTGAGAGTCAGGGGAGAAACTTTTCCGAAGTGATTCTCAAATCTGCGAATTAGACTTATCTGACGTTTCTGTTACACCCTACGGTACAGTCCTCAGAGATGATTCCTGGGTGCAGTCAGCTACTTCTCGTGACAGCTCCACCCTGCAGGTCTGAGACAAGGACGATCACTGCTGCAGCCCGCAAAGGTACTCACAGTAGAGTTTGCGGAGTAGAGAGGAGTTACTCTAATTTGGGAAAACTTCTGTTCTGTGAGCCCTGAATGAGAGATACCTGTGCCAAGAAACTCAGGTGCCAGCAGAGCAGCGTTAAAGCTTAGGTTCTTAGCCTGATTTGCAGAGGACGAATAACAAGACTGGAAAGCATCCACATACCCGCTGCTGATGAGTATTTTTTGAAACACGCGAGATGCATCTATTCTCAGGGCCTGAAGCAAAGACACGAACTAAGTTTCCTATGTTTACTAATCTCTGGGAGAGGAAACCGAGGCGAGCAGGGGGACAGCATCCTACTGTCTGTTCCGTCAGTCAGGTGTATTACTGAAACGAGAAAGCATTTTTATCTTTCCGGTTTAACGCCACATGAGTTTAAAAAGAATATCAGGCCCCCAGTGTTCAGTTAAGCCTTAGGCAAAGTGCAAATTGGCGCTCTTTCAAGAAAAAACATATCCTCTAAGGGAGCAGTGGGTGACGCAGACAGCTCACTGCCAAAATCCAACCACCCCGTCCATTACTCCCCCACACAGGGGCCACTGCACACCATCAACAAGCACAAGGGCAAAACCTAAAGCAACCACAAACGCTACACATCCAAGCATAAGCCCTGAAGATGCTTTGGACTCAGACACACAGTTTAGGCTAACACCGCGAAAAGAAAACCCAGACACTATCCACCTCCCTGTGGAAGCGCACAGTCCCACCTACATTACATCCCTGCCGTAACAGTGGACCAGACTTGGATCTAAACCTTAAGATTTCGCTACCAGTTCACAAGTATTATAGGAGGCATTCAGCAAATCCAAGCTATGGAGACTGTCAGGACACACGAGTGTACACCAACAACTGGGAGAGGGGCTGGGGAGCTTAAACACGAGTACAGCTGTGAGTCCCGACTTAACCCAGCGGCCACAAACCAGCCCATCAGACAAGGGCACACTTCACTGGCCACCCAGGAAAGTTCCAACGCGGACTGGATGTGTGAGGTTAAAGGGACCCGGGATGGTATTTCGCTTGTCTTTGTAAGAACCCTTAGCGTTTGGGAACCCGTCCCGAAACAGCCATAAATACGATGCTGGATGAACTGGAAACTCTCAAGCCCGACAATGAACACCTGAACGTTAACTACGCTTTCCCCCACATATTTAAACGCCGTTCGTAAACAAAACAGCCTTGCGGCCGTCCCGGTGCGCTCCTCCCCGGGCCTCCATCCTCGTCGGCCGCAAGCACAGCTGACGATCACGCGGATGACAAGGGGCTCCCGACGCCGCGTCTCGCGACAGTTTTACGTTACCGCCCC